GCATTATCCAAATGCCACAAAACAGTTACAAAATGTGAAAAAATGCATTTATAACTCCCGACACGTGCTCAGCATTGAAATATTTCCTACGCTCCACACAGCTTCAAGTAGAAATGCAAGTCATGCCCAAGCAGATTGCGCTCTCTGTTCTGTATGTCCCTTTGAGACCTGAACTTTGGCCTATCTGAACAGAAAGCAAAACTGAATCAGCTTTATTAAGTTTTGAAGCTGAGGAGCCAGAGCTTTTCAGCTGCAGAACATTTTCTTTCTTGTTCTTGCCCTGGTGGGATCAGCAAACCAGAAGTGACGGACTCCTGCTCTGTAAGTGGAGAGCAGCTGAGCAAACCTCCCTGGCTATGAACACAGGGGTTTAAATTAGCAAACAATGAATCTGCTCTCAGGGACTTTCCATGTCCTGTCGGAAATAGCGCAGCAGCGAGGGACTTTCCACAGCAGAGCTGGGGCAGGACGTTACACACGCTGCGGGCGCTCCCGTCCCACCAGAGCCAAACTCAGCACTAACCCAAGAAGCCTTCCCACAAGGCTGGGTTTGCACCAGTCCACAGCACTCAGAGACACTCTGGCCTGACACAGATGTTTTGACATCTCCTTTCATCAGCCCTCCTCAGGCACACACACCAGCGCTGCCTGGCCTGATTAGATGCCACAGCTCCTTGGCAGGCAGCTGGCTGGGAGGAGAGAGGACATGAGCCAGCGGGTGCCTCCTCCCACCACATCCCAGGAAAGAACCAGCTTTTCCTGAGAGGGCAAGAAATAACCTTTCCCTGTCACAGTGAACAGGGAAGTGTGAGTGTGCGAAAGGCTCAGCCCCAGAGGAACCAGCCAGTGCTGCTCGAAGTCCCACCCCCGTTCCTCACACAGAACTGCCCCAAATCTAACAAAAACTGACAGTCAAGATCGGAGCTGCAGACCTGCAGCCCAACCACTCTGGAGCCCTCCTCTGCTCAATTTTAGCAAAGCAACTAACAGGACCTTTCGAAAATCAGGCGGAGAGTTAAAAAAGGGGCACGTTATCCATTCAGATGCTCTTGAGCATTTGGACCCAAGATCCTGGAGCATCACACACATCTGCAGCCTTGCAAGACAGGCTTCATAGAATCCCAGACTTGTTTGGGTTGGGAGGGACCTTAAAGCTCAACCAGTTCCAACCACTGCCACGGGCAGGGACACCTTCCACTAGAGCAGGGTGCTCCAAGCCCCTCTGTCCAGCCTGGCCTTGAACACTGCCAGAGATGGGGCAGCCACAGCTTCCCTGGGCACCCTGCGCCAGCACCCTCCCAGGGAAGAGCTTCTGCCTCAGAGCTCATCTCAATCTCCTCTCTGGCAGCTTCAAGCCATTCCCCTTGTCCTGTCCCTACAAGCCCTTGTCCAAAGCCCCTCTCCAGGTTTCCTGGAGCCCCTTTAGGCACTGGAGCTGCTCTAAGGTCTCCCCTTCAGGAGCTGTCTCTTCTCCAGGCTGACCCAGCCCAGCTCTCTCAGCCTGGCTCCAGAGCAGAGCTGCTCCAGCCCTCACGTCTCCGTGGCCTCCTCTGGACACATCAATCAGAACTTACCCCAGGCCAGCTCATTGCCCTTTTGAACTTCTAGTGAAGTTCTGGCTGCTCAAACACTTGTAGGACCACACAGGAGCACCTTTGACAGCTGATGGTTTCTGCTGAGCTCTGCTAGAACTCTTTTAAGACTTTTTCTAAACCCAGGATAAGCAGGTCAGAACTGCTCACCAGTCACAGCACAATCACGAGCATTGGAAGCTGCTGACAAACAGGATTTGGTTTAGTTAATGGAGATGAGCTTTCTTACTACAATCACCATTTTGAACCCCATAGTGAGCATTGGACTTATAGTCACTGCTCCGGAAAGCAAGCCTGGGTCAGTCTGCAGACACCAACAGCACAGCTTCAACCTGGAACCTCAGTAAAACACATTGTACCCTGAAATGCAACTCCCAAACTCTCAGTGCTGCGTGGGAGTGAAGTTTTCAACTTTATTCAGTAGTACATCCCCACCATGAACCACTTCCAGGTCTGTCAATGAGGGCTTCACAGCTTCACAGCAGGAAGCATTTACACCCAACATCCCCTCATCTTTTGGAATTAACTCTCAGCACACAGAAGCAGAAGGTTCTAGAAAGCAGGACAAGGAAGCAGAGGCGCAAAAGCATCTCTGTGAACGGGCTCAGAAAGCCAGGCAGAAAACTCAGGCAGGATCTACAGTTTCCTGCCACCCTGCAGTGGCATTGCAAAGAGAATCCAAATGTTAGGCTAGACCAAGATTCTAGACACACATCTCAAAGCTCCATGAGCCACAGGGCTACACTCTTTACCTAGGGCAAGTATGAGAGGGAAATAAAATTTATTCCTCTTATCTCATGCCCCACACATGGTGGTTGTTCTACTCCAAGAGAGATGACAAAACTGTCCCTTCAGGAGCACCAAAGTATATATCCATTCACTACTAACTGCCGATGCATTTTAACAACACAAATTGCCATAGCAGAGGAACTGCTGGAAAGCACAGGGAAGCAGAGGGTCCACTGCCATCCTCAGCACAAAGACACTTCTCACAAGGCACCTTTCAGCTGTATACAGGCTAAGGACCAAACACCCACAGCCACAATTAAGGCCTGAATTAAAAAGCTGGTGAGCTCCTTGAGAAGAGCAAGAGTGGAAAAACCACCCTATCCAGAAGGATTGTGGCCCAGAGCAGCTCAGAGCAACAGGTGCCCAGCCTGTGACCAACAGCCAGTCCCACTGCCCTGGCAGCTGTGGGGCAGCTGGCTGGAAGCAAGATCATGGCCAGCTTTCCCCAAGCTCATGGGTCTGAAGTAGGTCTTAGGTTCACATAACAGAGAACTTCACAACCACCTCATGGCACAGCACAGCTGCTTGACAAGTTTGCTTGTCTTTTATAGCAGAAAGAAGTTGGAGATAGTGAGTGGATCCCATCAGGGAAGGGATGTGCTTGGTGTCAAGCAAATGTAACACTGTTTCAGTTCAGCCTGTGTGCTCAGGAGGGCACGCACACCCGCAGCACAGCCAAGAATCTCACCAGCTCATTTTTGAGTCCGGGTTGTTGACAGCTCCCACCACCACCGTCAGTGTCAAGGAATACCACCTGAGCCTTCCCCAGATACAGAGGACAGAAGAAGGACACAGACATCATAGGCCTTGCTCTGGTCTTTACCTCATATTCTTTAATAGTGCCCTTCCAAGTGCAGCCACTGTTAATGCAGACAGCAGGCAGACTTTCCACCTCCCGACGAGCTGCATTGTCTGGGAAAGCCTAAAATGGAAAAAACCAAACAAACCACAAGCATTATCAGGGGTTGCAGTTTTGGTTGGGTCTCTTAATTCTTTCCCAAGACCAGGTGCCCATCCAGTTGCCACATCACATCCTCAGAGGTGTGCTAATGGCAAACGCATTGTTATTATGGCACTTAAGTGAGCCAATACCACAGCACCATGACCTGGACTTCAGAAGCTGGGGAGTGCACCACATTAACCAGAACTCTCACTACCAAAACAAACATTTCCTAGGAAGAAGGGGTTCTATGACCTTGTGTTTTAAACACAAACTGCACGGGTATTAGTGACATCAGTGAGCTAACTGGGTTATGAAATGCATTTTTACTTACTGAGCTTGTTTCCAAAATAGAAATTCCCTCTTCGTAGATCCCTTCCTGAATACAGCTGGCACACTTCTGAGGTCCAGCACTACCAGACAGAAAAATAACCATCAAACACAACAAGAAGAGATCAATTTATGATTTCACAATAAAGTGATTTTGTTAACTTTAGAAAACAAAAATGTTTTCCTATTCTGAAAACACCACATTGAGCCTTTGCTCACAGATATTTCTGATGCCCATTTCTGACTCTGGGTTTTTTTCTTCTCCTGATTAAGCATCGATTCAACTTCCCCCACTCAAAGGCAGGAGTGAGGCAGAACCCCAGGAAACTTTTCTGGAAGCCAGCTTGTGTTTTGTCATGTTTTGGCACAACCACCATATGATAGTTCCTTCAGTGGCTGTGATGGAGACTGAAGGAGATGGGGGATCCACCTGGACTGGCACCTGAGCCGCAAAACCAACCCAGGGGATTCTAGAAAAGGGAACTCTGAAGCACCTCCCAGAATAGAACAAGTCAGAGATTACACATTCCCTTAAAGACGACCTGATGCTGTACCTCAACTCAGGTCCCTCAGTTAAAGAGTTTTCTCTCCTTTTCTGCTTGAAAACACATTTTCAAGCATTTTGCCATCAGACCAAAGGCACAGTTACCTTATAATTTTCTTCAGGCAGTAGGAGCAGTAGCGATGCCCACACTGCGCTTGGAATGGCCGCCTCAATATATTCTTGCAATCGGAGCAGAGGTATTTGACCTCCAGTTTAGTTCCCAGGATCTCCTTTGCAAATCCCGGCTGGTTGAGATCCAGGGAGCCAGGTGGGGTGGAGTTCGCTGCTGCCATGTGAATAAACAGTTCTGGCTGGATCTCCAGAGCCTGGAAATAAACACATTTTCCCTGCTAGGTTACAAGTGGCAACCTTTCACATCGACAGTGTGCTATACGGCAGTCAAATCCCATCCGCACAGCAGTGCAAGACAGGAGCCTGCCTCCACCTGGTGAAGAACATGGCAAGAAACTCTACAGTTAACTTTAGAACTAAAGCCAGGACAAAGGTGGACAGACCTCACTAAACCCCCCCACATGTTTATTGAGACGCAGCTTATTCAGAGACATCACGGTTTCTGGCCGAAAACACTGTAAAAACCCGCTTTAAAGCTGATGAGGACTGTAAATAAATAGCGTCAGTGCAGCAACCCCTGCGGGCACCCGGCACGGTGACCCCCCGGTGCGGCGACCCCGGCCTC